ACTATTCAAGTTATCTACAAATTTAATGCATAATAACTCCAATTATTCTTTTTACAGAAATAGAAAAAGCATATGAAATTGTATGAAAAAGTTCTGGAGTTAAAGTTGGGTGGTGGTGATGGTGTGCATTAAGTGTAGACATACTTAATGCACTAAGTGTATCCTTAAAAATAGTTAAAAGGGTAAAGTTTAGGGTCTCCCTGGTGGCGCAGGTGGTTGAGCTCAGCACTGTGAAGCTGTCCGCAGCCTCAGCAGCACTGATTTGATCCCGGTCAGCCGGCGAGAGTCCCACATGGCGAAGCAGACCTCTCCTGTCTTGCCCGCTGCTCCCCTCAGCAGTGTATTTCCATCAGTCTGCCTGTTCTGTTCCCCGCTCTGTCTCTGATGGATCCTCTCACCCTCCCGTGCATCTGACCTGTACCCTGGTTCTTGCATAAATAAATAAATAAATCTTAAAAAAAAAAAAAAAGAGTAAAGTTTAAGGTACACATATTTTACCACAATTTTTTAATGTAACAGGGGAGGGAGGAGAAATGATGGGGTGGGTAAGTGTAATTGTGTAAACTTCTGATACACAGGCAGGGGCAGAGTAGCTCTGATGTGGACTTGGAGGCCTTCAGGCTAAATGACAGGGCTAATCCGCAGCAGCTACAAGAGCAGGTTTCGGAAGCTCCAGCAGAGGGCTGGCTGAACACAGTATGGGGCCATCAGGTCAAGGGCAGCTTGGAAACACTGTTGAGCTGCAGGAGTCTGGTTGTCAGGTCTTACTGGCACAAAGCCTCGTGAGCAGTTGGAATTAGCACCTGTCTTGTGGGGCCAGGCCCTTGGGGATGGTGGGACGGCGTGGCCTTAGTGGTCCTTTCGTCCCTGTGGCAGGCTCTGTGCCTGGGGCTTTTGTGCGTTAATCTCTTGGGCTCCTCTCCCTGTCCGCAGCTGGAGAACACACTAGCACAGAGGAGTCCTTCTGGGAGCATCTTTGCCTTTGTCCCTTCAACCAGACGCGTCCCAGTGTCCTCCTAGGAAAGATACCTGAGAGAACATCTCTAGTCCCCAGACATGTGCGCTGCCCATCCATAGCTTTTCATTCTCAATTCGATACATTTCCATTTTTCGCAGATTTTTAATGCCAACCACCAGCACTGGGAGTTGTGACAGCAGAGTGGGGGTTGTAAGTGGGCCACCTGGAAGCTAGAGGTGTTGCTTCTAAATGTGCCTTTTTAAAAATACATTTTATTTCCACCCTTAAAATCAGAATACAAAATAAAAAAGTCAGGAGTCCTGGTATCTATTAAACCTGTAAGGTTGGAGCATGTTGGTCACCCCAGGAGCCCAGTGGGGCTATGGTTTTTGGTACCCACAGCTCTGGCCACTCTCTCCCAACCTGGCACTGATGAGGAAGCACAGGGCCTGGCAGCCTCTTACCCAGTGTTTTTATGTGGTCAGGTGAAGAGTAAAGTTAAATATTTTTGGTAACCACCCCCCTAAAAAGTTAAGGAATGTAAGAAAGATCACCCTTTAAAAGACTTGGATGTAAGAACTGAAAACATAAACTACGTAGAAGAAAACACAGACAAAACGTGCCATGACAAACTTCAGGAAATATCTTTGTGGATTCATCCCCAGTAGCAAGGAACACAAAGCAGATAAACAACCAGGAGTACAGTTAAGTAAAACGTTTTTATGCCGTGAAAAAGACAGTAGCCAAAAGGAAGACACCCCACTGAATGGGAGAAGATAGCAGCATGTGATACAGCTGACAACGGACTGCTGTCGATGATCTACAAATAGCTCATACAACTCAACAAAAAGAAAACAGATATCCCAATCAGAAAATGGGCAGAAGAGATAAATGCACCCTTCTTCAGAGAAGACATGCAGATGGCCGATAGGCAAGTGAATAATCACTGATCATCATTTACCATCAGGGAAATGCAAAACAAGATAATGAGAGACCACCTCACACCTGTGAGAATAGAATGGCTCATATTAAAAAGCCAAAGCCAAAACCGAACACACAGAAACAAGTGCTGGTGAGGGTGTGGAGAAAAGGAACCCCCTTACACTGCTGGTGGGAATGGAGACTGGTCAGCCCCCGGGGAACGCTGTGTGGAGGTTCCTCAAACGACTGAAAATGGATCTGCCATACAACCCAGCAATTCCATTCCTAGATAGCTACCCGAAGGGCACAGAAACACTAATTTGAAAGGAAACCTGCATGCCTAGGATTATTGCAGCACTATTTACAATGGCCAAGATATGGAAACAACCTAAGTGTCCCAAGACAGAATGGATGAAGACGTGGTATATGTACACAACGGACTACTTTTCAGCAATCAAAATAAAAGAAACTCATGCCATTTGCAGCAAAATGGATGGAGTTGGAAGGGATTATGCTGTGCAAAATAAACCAGAAGGAGAAAGATAAATACTGGATGGTTTCATTCACATGTGGAATATAGAAAAACCAAATAAAGGGTCAAAATCAAATTTTAAAATCAATCCTTGAAAGCAGACCATAGATTTGAGGCGGGGGGAGGGTGGCGTGGGGAGAAAGGGGAGGAAGAACAGGGAGGGGAAGAGTCCAGTGGACTGTGGTGGAGGACTCTGAGGGTTCTGGGGGTGGGAGAGCTGCGGTGACCACACCTAGGGGAGACATCCTATAAGGCAAAACATTAACAAGGATGTAAAACAACGGCGCTTCACATACACATCAATCATCATCCTCAGTGACCCCGCCTCTTGCCCAGGCACACGCTGTAGCAGTCTCTTCACATGCCTTGGCCTGCTTACTGTCTGCCAGCCTCTCCCCCCATCCCTCGCCAGCTCCAAAAGCTCCCGCTTGGTTCGCAGTGCCTAGAATGGTACCAGTAGTCATTCCATACACGTATGCACACATGACCCTCGGCCAACACCAAGAGGAAGTCAGAGACTGCAGCAGGACAAGCCCATCCATTGAGACCCAGATGTGGGGACACGATAGGGAGCTGGAGACTAGAGGACCACACTGGCAGCCTGTTCACTCTCTAAACTTTGCTGTAGGTCACCAAGATTTGGGCATCCCTATCGAAGCCCACCCTGGGCCTGCAGTGCAAGATTTTGCCCCAGGGTAGAGCTAGGTCCAAGCCCTGCCAACAATGCAGTGTGCCCAGCCCCCACCCAGGCCTGTGTCAGATGGAGAAGTGCTCAGGGCGCCTCCTGGCTGTCCCTGGGTGTGGCTGGCATCCTGGCCTTCTGCAGCCCCTCCCATGCAACCTGGCAAATCCTGCTACCCTGTAGCGAAGTTTTCAGAGCCATCTCCATTTCTGATACTGATACATCATTGAGAAAGTTGGATTGGTGTCTGGAGCAGATCCAGTACAGTAGGGAGAAGGCGCTCGGTGTCCAACAGAAGATAACGGACCTCAGGTCATTTCTGTCTTGTAGTGTTAGGCTCAGGACCTGAGCTCTGGGTATGGGCAGAGTAAATGCCCACCCAAGTTGACCGCACTCCCTGCTGAGCAGGGGCAGCACCTGTACGCCATATGCACAGCAGCCTCCCCACTGCAGGGGACAGGAAGTAATTTTGTGAAATTTTACATTTTCATTAACTGAAACTTGAACACCTAGAGCTTTGCAGGGGAGATGAAAGTAAAGCTGCAACCATCCTGGGGGCCAAGACTGTCAGGGCTGCTCTCTACACTGGTTCCTGAGCCCTGTGACCCAGTCCCCAAATCTCCAGTATCCACATACTCTCCAGGCTCCCTCTGATTCTGTGTCAGCTGTGACTTCCCCCTTGCCTCTGTCTCTAATTTCAGGGCCAGGTCACCCAGGGAAATAGAGAACCCAGAAACAGGCCTGAGTCAGGATCTGCCATGGAGGCAAAGGGGTAGGGTGAGTAGATCAATGAGGAGACAGATTCCTGAACGGTCCCTCTGATGAGCCTGTGGGACACCACAGTTAAAATGTGAGGGTGATTTGCTTGTTCATTGTGCAAGATGGTTAAAACAGGACCTTTCACTGCAAAGGCCCAGGGGCTTCATTCAGGAAGACTGGCCCACAGTGATACGTGGGAGAGGCAGCCCAGACTTCTGCACTCGTGTGGACAGGTGCCTGCTGCAGGCCAAGCTGTTGACTTGGTGCCCAACTGGAGGAGGGTCATGTGGAGAAGTCACCATACAATAGCTGCAGGTGGCCTTTCTCTGCACTAGGCACAGGCAAGGACAATCTGCTGTTGCCTGCCAGAGCTCAAACCTGGCCTTGGGGTTGATGCTGCAGGAAAACAGAAGGCTACATGGGAGAGGAAGCATTTCAGCCTGTCCAGAGGGATGGAGGGGTGAAGATGGTAGGGGAACCTTCCTGCAGGAGAGAACAGCCCATGTGGTGGTTCAGAGTTGGAGAGGTTTTTAGAGAATACCTGGATGGCACCAAGAGCAAAGAATGAGGGGGTTGGGGGACGGGAAACTGCACGGCTGAGCATCCTAATCACAAAGAAGCTGGGATGCCAGGCCAGAGGGCAGTCATTTGACTGCACCTGAGGGAAACACAACTCAAATAGGTTCATGCAATGGAGACATGGACAGAGCAGCTTCAGGCACAGCAGGGGCCAGGTGACACTTGCTGAGCTCAGGAATGTACCCACAAGATCCCGACTGTGCCATTCCACCAGCTGGGGACCCCAGGGGAAAGAGAGCTTCTAAGTGCCACAAAAGTTCTGGGATTGCACCTAAGTCCCCCAGTTTACATCAGGCACATCCCTGAACCAATTTCATGACCAGGGGAAGGAAGAATATGTTGATGATCTAGGCTTTATCAAAACTTTCATTGGGGGATAGAAGATGGAAAGAAGTTGGAAAGAGCCCCTAAATGACTTGAGCTGAGAGCAGAGAAGAGATAGTTTCTGGAAGATGCTGTGCTGTGGGGTGGGCATCCCTAACACCTTTCCAAGGCAGTGATCACCCAGTCCACATAGGCAAGAGCCTGTGGGAGCTGACATGTGCCCCAACTGCTTCTTGTCTTTGCAGGCAGGCATGCCCCGGACACTGAGCACCTCCGACATGGTTACCCCGGGCAGCCTCAGTCCACCCCCCACCAAGTCCATGGAGGGCGAACAAGCTGGGCAGCCACTGCTGGATGGAGCTCCATCCTCAGCCTCCCTGGATACCCTGATTCAGCAGCTGGTGCCCACAGCTGACTACTACCCTGAGGTGGGTGGCCCACCCAGTGGGAAGGAGGGGGCACAGAGGGGGCTCTCCTCCACCAAGCAGGGGGAGGCTTGGAACTGATCTTGGGCTGGAACTGATCTTGGGCCTGATGGGCAGGGTGAACTGGAAGGCAGAACCCCTCCCCCATGCCTTCATGAGTACACGCCACCTTTCTCCCATGTCCCCGCAGAAAGCCTACATCTTCACCTTCCTGCTGAGCTCCCGCCTCTTCATCGAGCCCCGGGAGCTCCTGGCCCGGGTCTGCCACCTGTGCATTGAGCAGCAGCAGCTGGACAAGCCGGTGCTGGACAAGGTGAGGGGCAGGGCAGGGCCTCTGAGTGTGCCCTCACTCCCCTGATGTGCCCTCCAGCTTTGGCCTCTTAGAGAGGCGCAGTTGTCCCACAGGGGATTCCTGTCTGTCTGAGGCCCAAGCCGAAAGGGACAGAGGGAGCGCCTTCAAGGGAGCTGTTTCTCAGGGCCTCTGGGAGCCCTTGAGCGCTCGGCGCCCAGAGCCTATCCCCCAGGAGTCATCAGCAGGACCCCTGCAGTCTGTGACTTGGGAGGACCCTGGAGCCTCTGCTGGGCCCTCCACCCCACATGCTCACACTCACCTCCACCCCCCCCCCCTGCCGTGGGGTCTGCTGGCGGCGCTGCCTCCTCTGTCTCCCCACATCCCGCTCTCTGGACTGCGACTCTGTTTATCTGTGTTGGCTAGAGCTGCGGTTATAGTGCTAGAAACCCGACCTCTGCAGACCCAGGCAAAGGGACTTGACCTACTCCTGTAGCTGCCAAGTCTCAAGAATGCAGGTTCGGGAACTGATGAGATCCGTTAAAATGTCAGCCTTCTCCCTCTGACCCTCCGCTCCATCGTCTTTCTTTTTTTCATATTATAGATCATCTTTTTATTATTTGTCAGTTTATTAATTAGTCAATGTAAAATTAATTTTTTTCTAAGAAAAATGTGTCCGTTTCCTCAAAGTAGACTATTGCCGCTTTGCGTCGCCCTTCTCTGTCACTCCTTTCATGTGTTCCTTCCTCTACCATATGTTACATAGTTAGAATCCATGCATGCTGTTTATTAAATTTCTGCTTTTTTCTAGTCATTTAATTTATTGGTACTGACTTATATTATATGATGATGAATACATTTTCATTATGAAAAAATGAAATGACTTCAAGTTATGAATAAGTTTTGTTCTCAAGAGAATAACCTTTCAACGTGAATCATTTTTTTTTCTTCATATATATTACTTTATTCATTTTTATTATTTCCATTTTATTTTTAAAAATTTCTTTTCTGACATCATTGTTCATTTTTTTTAGTAGTTGATGTCTCCCTGCAGTGTAGTGCCCAAGGTTCTCACGCCACCACGGCACCCAGAGCCACCCCCACAGCCCCTTGCCTTCACTCTGTCCTGCCCCCGAGCCAGCCTCACCGGCCCAAAGCAGATTCTCCCTCCACTGCGCCAGGCCCACTGTCTGCCCTTCCAAGCCCCCCAGGAAAACCAAGACCCATTTTTAGTAAGTCCCAATAAAAGTCACGATCTCACTGGATTCATTTAGTCCACACGCCCATTTGTGAGCCAGTTGCTGCGGTGATGGAGGTGTCAGCACGCAGTTGGCTAGCATGGACGGGGAGGCCCACTCCCAAAGCCCTGGGGTAAGAGGGGGAGACCCCAAAGGGAAAGCAATGTGCTGTCACCAGAGAAGGGAAAACGGGTGCTGAGGAACAAAGACAAGAGATGATCTGGCAGCAGATGTGTCCCCCTCTGCTCTTGTCAGTCACCATCCCTTCCCCGTCCCTGTCGCCTGGCATAGAAAAGGCATGAGGTCCAGCCCCCCGTGACCACCTCTGCCCAGATAGCCCGGTAGACACACAGCGAGTGGCTGAGAGGGTGGCTGATGTGACCCGAACCCCCAAGCACCCCTCACCAAGCACAGGTGCTACCCCCTTGTTTTGCAGGCCCAAGTCCGGAAGTTTGGCCCCAAACTGCTCCAATTGTTGGCTGAGTGGACGGAGACCTTCCCACGGGACTTCCAGGAAGAGTCGACCATCGGGCACCTAAAGGACGTGGTGGGCCGCATCGCCCCCTGTGATGAGGTGGGGAGCCGGAGGGAGTTGCTTCTAGCTTCTGCACCCTCACACGGGGGACCTGATCCAGTTTCCATCTGTCTTGCATGCTGTAGAACCTTCAAAATCAGCTGCTTTGTGTCCCATCAGATAATTGGATTGGAGAGCCAGCAGGGAACCAGTCCTCTGGTTTTACACTGGCCTCTTGATCTCCCCACTGCCCTGCTGTTATGGATGGCATGAGATAGCAGGTGAGGAAGACCCATCCTAGACTCGAGGTTGTATGGTCAGGCCACGGGTCTGTGACCTGCCGTCTCAGGCCAGTGCCACAAAGGCCTCTTCCTCCTGTCCCTACACCACATCTGGTCTGGGCTGTGGTCACGGTTCCTAACAAGGGGCTGCCAGCCAGGAAAGGACTCTCAGCAAGAACCAGACTAATAGCAGCAGCAGTGGCAATAATGGCCGCATGCTATCTGGGCAGACTCCCCTGGCTCCTCTCAGCCTCCAGGGATAAGCTGTAAACCCTGCAGGGTCGGGCACAGGAGGGCTCCTGGGGCTAAAAGCACACCCCAGAGTAAAAGACCCAACCCTTGCAGTGACTGGGAGGCAGCCAGCAGCCTGGGCGTCAAGTGCGTCCTTCCAGCCCTGCTGTCCAGCTGTGCTGCACTAGGTGAAATGAGGACAAAATCCCTACCTCCTAGGCTTAGGGTGAGAACATGAAAAAGAGCCTTGCAAAGGGGATGGAGTCCTGGGTGGGTCTAGAAAGGGGAGGTGTATCAGCGTCTTCAGGGCCCCTGTAGCAAACACTGATGTTTTCAGGAAGGACAGAATGTTGGGAGGCAACTATCCTGGGAGGAGACTGGACGTGGCAAGCTGGTAGCTAGGGGTGTGCCCTAAAGTGGGTCTGGACATGACAAAACCAGCCGCCTGTCAAGCAAAGGAAATCTGTCAAGGCAGCCTGGACAGCAAGAAGTCATAAAGCCTGAGGCCTGAGGTACAGAGAGGGAGCCCCCACCCCAGGCGTCACTTCACATCATGACTTAGCTGCTTTGGGGACTCAGCGAGTTGAGGGTCATCTCCTCATCTTTATCCCTCGCCCAAATGTGAGTTGTGATCTTTGACTTAGGACACAGAAGGAAACACTGTCAGGGAGGGCTTGATGATTGGGAGATCAGTGTAGGTGGGTGGAAAGGAGAGAGGAGATGCTGATTGATTGGCTGAATAGCTGGATACTTGGGTGGAGGAGGAAGGTAGATGTTTGGGTAGTTGGATCAGCAGTTGGATTTATGGGGTGAGTGGATGTGGAATGATTGGCAGAAAGAGGGGAGAGAGGAAGGTAAGAGTGGTAGGTGGGTGGGTGGAGAGATGAATAGATGGATCGGAGGGTGGGGAGATGGATGGGTGTGTGTGGGTGTGGGAAGGCACACGAATCAGGATGGATAGGTAGGTAGATATCTGGGATGGACAAATGGAGGGTGGAGGGTGGGTGAATAAGGTGGATGGGTAGGTAGGTGGATCTGTGAGTGAGTGGACAGGTGGCAGGTGATTAGATGGATGAATAAGGATGGATGGATGGGGGGATGGATGACTGGGTGTGTTGGTGGATTGATGGACAGGTCAATGTTAGGAAGGAAGGAGGAAGGACAAATGAATGAATTGATAATGGGTAGAGAAAGGGTGGGTACAGGGGTGGGGTATGGATGGATGAAGGTGACGCAATGTAAGGGGATGAAAGCCCTTTCACCTCTCTCCTCCAGAGGCCCTCAGCCTTCTGTATCTAAGACATTGACATGATGGGATTATCTGCTCTCTCAGGCGTGCCCCTGCCATTTCAGAGGCAGACCCTGTTGTTCAGCCATGGTGGGGGCACAGCTGAAAGTCACAGGCTAGTGTCCTCGGGAAGCAGGACCTCCTCTTGGACAACCAACAACCTGTCAGTCCTGCCTCCAGGGCTGTGCTGGAAAATTTCTAACCACCTAGTGGATGAAAATAAGCTACAAGCAAGGCCTAGGAAGGGGCTGTGGAGAGCAGTCACCTACCAACAGGTGCACAAACAGGTCACTCAGGACATTTCCCATTGCTTTTCTTGGAGTCCAGTGTGGGGTACATTCCAGTATAAGTTGCGATGGGGGTTCCCAGCTCCCACCCCATCCCTGTTGGACCAGGCCAGTGCTGCTCCCCCTGGGGATTTCTTCACCGTCCCCAAGTTAACCTTCTACAGAAGCAACCACCCCCAGGGAGTGTCCTTTTGGGGTTTCCCTGCCCTCCCTTGGACTGTTGCTGCTCTCCACCTTCCCATCCCGCCCCAGTTCGGACAAAGGTTTGCCTCAGAAAGGAGCTGGTGAGCCCTGAAACAGACTGGCGAGGCAGGCCCTTGGGGCTCAGAGTAGGAAGTACAGAAGCCTCGGCTGTGTGACTCTGCGCTTCAAGGTCTTCATTAGTGAAACAGAGATAACTGTTGTCATTGTGCAGCTTCGCAGCAAAGACCCCCTGAAGCCACGAGTGCTCTTACTTCAGTATTTGGTAAATGTGAGCTATGATGACGGACAAATTCTTTCCAAAACTGAAGCCCTAAAACATGGGGATTATTTTTAACTTTATGGAACTTTTATTGTGGAATATTTCAGATATACGCAAACATAAAGAATAGCAACCATGCTTCAGCAATTACCAATATTTTGCCAAACTTGTTTCCTCCAAATCCTCACATACTTCCCCTACTCACCACATTATTTTTAAGCAAATCATAACCATTATCTTTTGCTCAAAAAATATTTCAGCATTATTTTGTAGAAGATTTCTCACACAGGGGTGACTCACACATAGAGCATGCTGTGCACACAAGATGATGAGCGTGAGTTTTTTTTCAGAGCTGTGTGTTTTTGAACCATTTATTTAGCATCTCTGGACCTTACTTTTCTTTCTGTAAGAGGGAGGGTGAAAGGGGCTATGAGAACAGCAGAGCTCAGGAACAACACAGGGCCGTTGTGTCCCTTTCCTCTGTTCCCGCTGACATTTATGGGCAGGCCCACATCCTCACTCTGGTCCTCACCTCCTCGCTCACTGCATATCGGCCCGGGGCTGATTCAGGTGACAGCTTTCGAGAACTTCAGAGAACAGGGACCCACAGGAAGGTTGTAACCATACAATGTCCAGTTGGAGAACTTGGAGAAACCCAGAAAACCTTGACCACCTCCACTGGCCACCTCTATACTTAAACCCAGCTCTGGACACGCAGCAGGTGGCTCTGTGGAAAGGGAGGGAGGAGGCGGGTGGGCCCCACCACCATGTCAGGGACTGCAGCACGCAGGCAGCCCTGGGCTCTGTGATGTGGGCCCTGACAGCAGCAAGGGCACCTTTCCTCCCATCCGTGTCCAATGACAGTTCTCTGGGTCTGCCCATATATGCTGAGCTCTCCATCCACAAGGGTGTAGGAATCAGTAAGAAAATGAGGGGAGGTCAAAGGAAAGGGCAAATGTCATCCTCGCTGTCAGGGGAAGTCCAGAAGATTCAGGGACAAATGGAAAAATTCTAAGTGAATGAACACTTAGAAAATGATAATTATTTGGACTAGATATTGATTCAGGAGATAACAAGTCCCTCTAACTCATCTGCATATTTTCAGAAATAGGGTAAGCGCGTGGTTCTATCAAATGTCAGGCACAGCCTGGACTTCAGGAGGGCTCCTCAGCCGGCCCTGCAAAAGCTGGCTGGCCAGATCGGGTGAAGGTCACAGCGAGCCAATCAGCAAATGTGTGGGGGTGCAGACATGGCTCCTCGCTGGGGCCAGCAAAGCGTGACCTGTGCCATCTTCATGGAGTTGTGCTCCAACAAGAGGAGATGGATAATCCCTGATTGTGGCTGGGACGAGGGCTGTGGAGGAAGGACATGGGACTCTGGGGGCCAGAGGATAACAGCACATCAAGAAGGAGAAGGCTGCACAGGCCCTACTGGGGGGTGGGGGAGGGGAAATTAGAGGGATACAGGAGTGACCTGTGTCTGGAGCAGAGAAGGGAAGCAAGGGCCACATGGTGTCCACTGAGCATGCCCAGAGCTGACCTTGGCCCCAAAGCCACTAAGGGCTTTTGATTTTGTAAAAATATGAAGGCATTTTAGGAGGGAGATAGAGTGGCCAGGTGTGCATTTTGGACAGACAGCCCTGGCTGCAGAGTGGAGTAAAAGGAAGCTGGCATGGATGCAGGAGGTCCATTGTGGAGCCACTGCAGCCACAGGGGATCCCACCACAGCCTCAACCACAGAGACCATGGTGGGAAGCAAGCTGGTAATGGAAGTGAGGGAGAGGGCAGGATGAGGATGGCTCGAGGCCTGTGTTATTCACTGAGACAGATTAACAGGCAAAGGAGGCAGCTCTGGGCTAGGAAAGCGGGACTTCTGCTTGCTCTTGTTGGGTCAAGGCAGCCCCTTGAGAGGTTGGAGACAGAAACCACATATGTGATGTCCTCATATGGACATTATATCTCGGTCATGAATCAGCATGTCCAGGATCAAAGTACAAGGAAGAGGAGAATGGGGGGTGGGCAACAGGAGGAACCCCAGGCCCACCAATGGTGCAGATAGACAGCCCGAGGTGAGAGGACCCCGAAGCCAAGACAAGGTGACAAGGCAGATACAGCCTGAAAATGGCCTGGCATTCAGGAGATCCTGGTGGGAGCTGACCTGATGGCTGACAGAGGGGAGCTGGCTGGAGGTGTGAAGGGGTGAGTTGGGGGTGCGGGGATGCCATGACCAGTGTAGACGCAATGAGATGACTGACTGGATAAAGGAAAGAGAATGGAGACCAGTGGAGGTATTGCGGATCAAAGCAGATTGTGTCACTAGGGCTGGCCATGGCTGGAGCAAGCTCACCATCTTCCCAGCACTCAAATCAAGGCCTCAGGGCAGCGTGCTGACCACACTTTGGGACACCGCAGAGCCAAGAGGGGTTTTCCTTGCCCAGGTGACAGAAGGAAGCGTCAGGCCTCAGTTACCCACGCAGTGACCAGCTAACCAGGGGGTGCCTGCTGGGCCTGCACCCACAACTCTAGGATTTAGGTTTAGATTAGGCAGCCTCCAGTCCTATTCCTTCGTACTGAGGCCTCCACCAAGGCTTCTGGTAGCCACTTCACAGAGAAGCGTTTTCATCAGGGGCCAGGCAAACGCCATCTTTGTCACCAGAGCTCTGGGAACTAATAATGCTGGACCTCGAAGTTCCCCTTGAGCCCTGCCAGAGACGCTGAGAAACTTCTGAGGCCCCCAGACACACTCGGCCCAGCAACCAGAATCTGCCTGCAAAATGCCATTAGGTTTGCGTGTTTCAGGACAGCATGAAGCAAACACACTTTTACTATCTGAATTACCAGGTAACACTGAATATTCACCAAGCTCCTTATGCTTGAGGCCTATGGAGCCAGATCCCCTGTCTGCCGGAAGCCTTGTGTTCACTAGAAGACACCCCGGTGTCCATCACCTCTCCCAGGCCTACTTCTTGGCCCCTGGGGGGCTAAATCCACCTCTGGAGGCCATTTGTCTCAGACTAAGGGGCTTGTTCTGTGTGTTACTAACCAAATCCTTGGGAAAGTGTGGACATTTCCCTTAATAAACCCAGTTAGTCTAATGGCACCATCCTTGGAAATAGGGGACTGAAGAGGAAATAAGAGGCCTTGTGGGCGGGAGCACGGGTACTCCCTAAGAGTAGGGCTGTGGCCTTTTATCTCTGAGCCCAGCCCAGGACCAAAAAGCAAGACCGCATCATCTGAGCTAAATGGTAAGGCCTTCTGGCAGTACATAGTGGTTATGCAGCACCCATCACGTGCCCAGAGCTGGGCCTGGGAGGCAGGAGGGGGTCCCCCATGAAAGCCAAGCAAAAATACAGGCCACCCAGAGGCAGGTCCCATTCCTTGCCTTCCTCCTCTCTCCTTGCAGCCAGCTCTGCCGCAGAGCTCACCTCACCCCACCCACTGCCAGACAGCTGGGGCGGCCCTCTCCTATGTGACTCTCCTCACTCCTGCTGTAATCTTGTCGCCTTCTCCCCCACTGGCCTTGACTATGACTCCAACCACGACCTATCCCAGATTGGGTGCAGTTTCAGAGGTGGGGTCAGGTATAGGCACACCTAGGAACAGCCCATCCATCCCAGCCAGGAGCCTGCCCACCTTAGATGTCAGAGATGCAGAGATGGGTGTCCAGGTCTGAGCTCCTCTTTCTTTACCACCCCTGCAGGCATACCGAAAGAGGATGCACCAGCTCCTGCAGGCTCTGCACCAGAAGCTGGCAGTTCTGGGCCAGGGCTCGGAAGGCCTGCTGGGAGCTGACAAGCCCATCGCCTACCGGACCAAGCCGCCAGCCTCCATCCACAGGGAGCTCCTAGTCATCTGCAGTGATCCCTATACACTGGCTCAGCAGCTGACCCACGTGGAGCTGGTGAGCAGGCCCATGCCACCCTCTACCCAGACTCAGAACTAGACCAACCGAGAACAGCTGGCCACCCATCTGCCCCTCTGGCCTTGTCTCAGCCAATACCCGGGTCCTAGCCTGTCTCAGCAAAGCCAGCTGGCCATTTCTGGAGGACCTTGGCTCTGAAGCAGACCCTCACCAGTCCTGGGGCTGCATGTGCCAGCCTGCCCACCTTTGGGCCCTGGCCAGCCAGAGAGTCCTGGCCTGAGACAGAGAAGCTGGGTTCAGTCCTGACTCTGACACCACATGGCTGTGTGGTCCTTCCACCATTAGTGCCTTCCCCACCTGGACCTCAGTTTCTCCATCCAGGATATATACACACATTATTCTCACCCCAATTTTCCAGAGATGCCCAGACAAGCCTTCCTGCTTGCCAAGGGGATGCCCCATTCAGCCTCCAGCATATTGATTAAAAAAAGTCAAGAGACTTACTTCAGAGAGAGGGGAGACTGGAAATGAGTTTCTTTCCTTTTAAGCCTTAGGGTGCCCTTACTGCTTTCCAGGCACGATGCTCAACAAATACGTACACTCTCATTTCACCTTTCTGTCACCCTGCTGGGCAGGTGCTATTAATACTCCTTTTCCTGTCAATGAGGAAACTAAGGCCCAGAGAGGGTAAGTGATTTGGTGGAAGTCGCACACCGGGAGGGACAGAGCCGGGATTCAGACCTCACGCTCTTACCCACCAGGCCTGTCTGGAGAAGGAGAATCATTTCAGGGCTCTGATTTTAGAGCCTGGTTTCCTGGGTACCACACCCCACCAACACTCCCTGTGGGGACATTTCCCCTCACCCCCCTGAACTGTGCAGCCCTGGGCGTGGGAAAGGAGGTCCCTTCGGGGATGATGGTGCCCCCGAGACAATTCAACAGAAGGGATGGGCTAGGAGGCAGACAGCCTCACTGGGCGCACCAAGGTAGCCGCCAGTGGGCACCCCTCCCCCCATCTGCTCCTTTCCTAACTCTTCTCCCTCCCGGTGCAGGAGCGGCTGCGGCACATTGGGCCTGAGGAGTTTGTCCAGGCTTTTGTGAACAAGGACCCTCTGGCCAGCACAAAGGTAGAAGGCCCTTGAGCGGGCAGTCCCAGTAGTTTCCCTCCCCCCTGGAACCTCTGGCAGATCCCACAAGCATCTCCTGGGGAGCTGTGGAGGGGTCCAGAGCCGGCGATGGACTTGGAGCCACCGAGCTCCCGTCACCCTTCCGCCTCCAGCTCACCGGTCAGGGCGAGGGAGTCAGACACCACGGCCCTGAGTCCGGGGAAGCCTGGAAGGGTGGGCGGGCCTGGCCGGTCACCGTCCCGGCAAGGGCAGAGGGGCAGGCCGGGACCGAGGCCCTGCTTAGACAAGAGGGTGGAGGACGCACCCCACCAGCTCAGGGACCCTGTATGCCCTCCTAGTGTGGTTCGGTGGGCGCTGCTGCCCCCCAGTGGCCACTCAGGGAAGCGCGGGCTGGCGCGGGCTGCCCAGGAAAGGTAAAAGCTTTTCTCCCTTCTGTGGCCCTGGAGCCAAGCTCTAGGGACCCCGCCCACACCCTGGATGTTGGGGCCAGTCCCTCTCCAGGCCCAGCGCCAGGACTCCTGGTGCTTATCAACGGGGTCAAATGAGACCTAAATCTGGAAACACTGTGTCTTCCTCCCCGAAGACTAATAAAAGAAGTGAAAACTATTCAGTTGCATTTTCACCTCTCAGATAAGCAGAGATTAAACATCATGAGAGTGTTGGGCTGGTAGAAAATGAAATTGGCACAATCACTTTGGAGGCAGCTTGACAATAGCATCAGCACTTGAAATGTACACCCTGGACCCCAATTTTCCACACCTAGTGATTTATTCTACAGATAGATACACTTATGTACACAAAGATGTATGTACAAAGATATGTGGATACACAGTGTTTATTATGACCATAGGCTGAAAGCAAACTACCTTGTCATCCAAGGGTACTGAATTAAAAATTATGATAACCACACATGTGCTATTAAGAAGAAGAAGAAAAATTGTAAATATGGAATAATCCCCAGGGTCTGTTGTGGAGAGAAGAGAGTAGAGAGAAGAGCAGTGATGAACAGTATGTGCTTATTTGTGTAACAGAAAGGAGGGTGCACCTAATGTCTATGTCAGGTTGTACATACATGGAGATAATCTCTATCTAGAATTGCGCATGTGTGGGGACAATCTCTAGGATACTGGTTACTCTAGGGAGCCCAGTGGGAAGCCCCAGGCAAGAGTGGAACGGAGTCTGCTACTTTCAGCAGGTTGTTTTCCTGTTTCATTCTGGTTGACTTCTGGCCATTTCCAAGCACAGTTGACCCTTGAACAACATGACCCTGTGCAGTTAAAAATCCATGTATAACTTTTGACACCCCCAAAAGTTAACTACTAACACTCTGCTATTGATTCGTACTTTATTCATAACCTGAACAGCCAATTAATACATTTTGTATGTTGTTATATATTTCATCTTTTTTTTAAGATTTATTTATTTATTTTTACAAGCACTGGGTACAGTCAGAAGCGCGGGAGGGTGAGAGAATTCACCAGAGCCAGAGCAGAGAGCAGAACAGGCAGAAGGACCGAAGTACACTGCTGAGGGGAGCAGCGGGCGGCAGGAGAGGTCTGCGCGCCATGTGGGACCCTCACCTGGCAGCCGGGGATGGAACCGGTGCTGCAGAGGCTGCGGGCAGCTTCGCAGCCCAGCGCTCAACCACTGCGCCACCGGGGAGGCCCTATATACTTTCATCTTACAATAACAGAAGCAGAGAAGAGAAAATGTTATTAAGAAAATCTTAAGGAAGAGAAAATACATTTCAATGCTGTATTTGTAGGGATACCGTAAGTTTACATTGTTTACAAGAAAATCTGCATCTAAGTGGACCAATGTAAGTTCAAACCCACAATGTTCAAGAGTCAGCTGTATTACTTTTTTACCATGAGGTACATCAAGATTTCATGTGACGTTTCTTTAACCACTTTACTATTTATAGATGAACATTTATGTCATTTCCAGCTCTTCACTATTTTAGATATTGCTGCCATGAACATTTTTATAGCTAGAGCATCAGTTCTCAAGTGTTTTGGTCTGAGGACCCTTTTCCAATCTTAAAAATCACTGAGGACCCCAAAGAACTTTTGATTATGTAGATTATATCTACTGATACCTAAAACATTAACCACCTAGATGTAAATTTTAAGTACTTATTGAAAATAACAATAGTAACCCATTATATGTTAACAGATACTATATTTTAAGAAAAGCAACTTTATTTTTTCCCAGAATGAAAAATTACTGAAGTACGGCATTATTTTACAGTATTTGAAGAAATCTCTAATCATCATAGAAAATAGCTGAATTCTCTTATTTGCTTCGGAATTCAATCTCCCAAAATATATTATTTTGACTGAAAGTCCAGCCTCATGTGAACCTGTAGTTGGAAAAGGGAGGAGTACTTTGCAGCTTTTTAGATAATTGTGAATAATTGTAAGACTCTTTGAGACTATAGTAAAACTCAGTAAATGGTAGTTTTTCAAGACTAATTATAATTTGAAATCTGAAACTACATCGACAGACTTTCTGTACACTAGTACTTTAAACTCCAACCTGTGCATGATCCTGTGATGTCGTACATGGGTTCATTGAATCAGTGAACATTGAATCAATGCACACATTTCACTATCTAACATTTTTTAAACACATTCATTAATACACTACCATTGTCATTCAAAAAAATCCTTCCGTATTGGAAATGTCAAGGTCATAGAAGCAGGTACATTTTCACAAGTTCACAATTTTCTCTTGAAAACTTGAATTATGTCAAGTTTGTCGGCAACAAACACTATCAGTCATCTTCTTTGAGGTGACAGGCTCATTTGCTCATTATCAAGAAAATATCAACCAAATGCTGAAGTCTAAATAACCACAGCTGGTCAGTTCTTTCTTCAAGTGAAAATGGAGTGCAGTGAGGGCGGGCCCATGAATCAGTCTCACAGATGTCTGTGGGCAGCAGGAGTGCTGTCTGTGTCCTTCCACTTTGTAACATAAATACCAACAAGGCATGTACTCAAGGGTCAAGATTTCATCAAGTTAAAATATTTTTTTTTAAGATTTATTTTTTATTTATTTATACAAGCACTGGGTAGAGTCAGAAGCGCAGGAGGGTGAGAGAATTCACCAGAGCCAAAGTGGGGAGCAGAGCAGACAGAAGGACCGAAGTACACTGCTGAGGGGAGCAGCAGGTGGCAGGAGTGGTCTGCACACCATGTGGGACCCTCCTCCGGAGGCCGGGGAGCAGCAGGGGATCGAACCAGTGCTGCAGAGGCTGAGGGCAGCTTTGCAACCCAGCACTCAACCGCTGCGCCACCAGGGAGGCCCTAAGTTAAAATATTTTTTTTTTTAAATAAATTTTATTGTTATATTCCCCATACAATTGCAGCCCCCCCATTCTGACCCCAATCCCTCCCCTCCCACCCCCACCCCCCTAAAAGTGTCTCTGGTTCATAGTTTTTTGTTGATTTTGATTTTCACTTTCTTATAGTTATTCATTTTCCTGGTCCCTTATTTAAGTTTTCTAGATTCCTGCTATGAGTGAGACCATCCGGTATTTTTCTTTTTCTTTTTGGCTTATTTCGCTGAGCATGATTCCTTCCAGCGCCATCCATGTTGCTGCAAATTGCATGTGTTTATCTTTTTTGAATGCTGAGTAATATTCCATGGTATATATGTACCACATCTTCTTGATCCAGTCATCTATTTTTGGGCATTTGGGTTGTTTCCAAAGCTTAGCTATTGTAAACAGTGCTGCTATAAACATAGGGGTGCAGGTGTTCTTTGGAATTGATGTTTCTGTGTCCTTTGGGTAAATACCTAGGAGTGGAATTGCTGGATCATATGGAAGCTCTATGTTTAGTAGGTCCAGAAATCTCCATACAGCTTTCCACAGTGGTTGGACCAGTTTGCACTCCCACCAACAGTGCAGAAGAGTTCCTTTTTCTCCACACCCTCGCCAACATTTGTTGTTGCTAGTTTTTTTAATATGTGCCATTCTCACTGGTGTAAGATGGTATCTCATGGTAGTTTTGATTTGCATTTCCCTGATGACAAGTGATGTTGAACATTTTTTCATATGCCTGTTGGCCATTTGCATTTCCTCTTCAGAGAAGTTTCTTTTAAGCTCTTCTGCCCATTTTTTGACTGGATTATTTTCTTTGTTGTTGTTGAGTCTCATCAGCTCTTTGCAGATTTTTGTGATCAGTCCTTTATCATTAGTGTTGGGTGCAAAAATGTTCTCCCAGTTGGTGGGGTTTCTCTTTGTTTTTGTTATTGTCTCTTTTGCTGTGCAAAAGCTCTTTAATTTGATGTAGTCCCAGCTGTTGATCTTTGCCTTCACTATCACTGCTTTGGGTGATGTGTCTGTAAAGATGTCTTTGATGTGCAAATCACGTAGTGTTTCGCCTATATTTCCTTCTATATATTTTATGGTTTCAGGTCTTATGTCTAGTTCTTTAATCCATTTTGAGTTGATTTTTGTGTATGGTGTGAGGTGGTGGTCAAGCTTCATTCTTTTGCATGTAGCGACCCAGTTTTCCCAGCACCATTTATTGAACAAACTTTCTTTGCTCCAATGCATATTCTTTGCTCCTTTGTCAAAGATTAGTTGACCATAAATCTGTGGGTTTATTTCTGGATTTTCTATTCGATTCCATTGGTCTGTATGTCTGTTCTTGTTCCAATACCATGCAGTTTTGATGATTATGGCTTTGTAGTATAGTTTGAAGTCTGGGAGTCTGATGCCTCCATTCCCTTCTTTTTTTTTCAGGAGAGCTTTGGCTATTCGGGGTTTTTGGTGATTCCATATGAATTTCATCAATAATTGTTCTATTTCTTTGAAGAATGACATTGAAATTTTGATTGGAATAGCATTGAATCTGTATACTGCTTTTGGTAGGATGGCCATTTTAATAATGTTTATTCTTCCAATCCATGAGCAGGGGATGTCTTTCCATTTCTTTGTGTCTTCTTCTATTTCTTTTAACAGTGTTTTATAGTTTTCTTTGTATAGGTCC